TCTGCTGAAACCTGTCCCCCATGATGACCCTGCTGGTATGTGAATCATTGGTGGTATAGCTTCCTGCCTTAAAGCAACATGCAAGCCACCATTGTAGGAGAAACTAACAGATGAGTGGTTGTTTGTGGGCTGTGTTATGCCAATTGACCTTGTTGTCAGAGTCTTGGAACATCCATTTTTAGTAAGATCTCAAGTTTATCTTTCTACTCAGTGTGATTTGAAAATCATTGCTGTTCCATTTTTCATTGAAATAGCAAAACGTAGAGGGTGCACGCCCCCTAGTGTATATACATGAGTGTCACATATTCACTGACATTGATGTATCAGATCTTCTTTTTTTATCCGTGCCTTACAAAAGAGCCAAATTTTGTTACATACAATTTGTAATGGCTGTAGCAGAATAAATTACTTCCATGTCAATTACATTACTAGTTAATAGTACCAGAAATCTATTTTTTTGGGTCACAAAAAGAATGCTATGAATATCATCTGAATTTGCCAAATAATTGTCTGTCTTATCAGACCTCAGATGCTTCTGGAAATTCAATTTAATATTGGAAGCCTGTGTCCCAACACAAATGACCTATCATTTCAGTTAGCCTATGACACTGTAAAGCCTCCTAGAATGGGTAGTGAGAGCACTGTACATGAAAGGGTACAATACTTCTTGTACCTGGAAAAAAGGAACAGATAGTTTCCATTAAACTGGTGGAAATAACTCTTTTGGTAACTGTCTATAATGAATGATTACCTTTAGTTTCTTCTATAAACTCTCACTCCATATTTGCTAGTTCTTTCTGAAATCTCTATTTTTGTTAATCTTTGATACCCTATACCTATAGATATCTATTGTATTTTCTACATACTACATTTTCTTTTCCTAGAAATGGAAATGGTAAACACAAGGAGGAAGTAGAGAGAGTACTATTACATTGTGGAGACTGGAATCAATGTCATAAAACAAAATGTATAGGAATTGTTTAATTGAAAACCAATTTGCTCTGTAAATTTTCACTCAAATCACAATAAAAAGTTAACAAAGAAATGTACAAGAACCAATTATATGAATGATTTATGAAAACAGATGTCTAAAATTTTTAAACATTAATTCTAGGACAAAAATAGAGTAAAATTTTCAAAGATATCACTTCTTTGCTAGTCTTACTACCACCATCCAACTATCACCTTCATTAGAATTTCTGGAAAGATGGATGGAAGTGTGACAAGACAAATACATCTACTTGGCAATATTTTGTTAATGATTAACCTGAGTTTCTGTATCTATCTGAAAGTAACTGAACTAAGTCACTTTGATAATGCATTTCTTAAGTTTAGCTCTCAAAATCTGGGGATAAGTGATAATAGTATAATATGGTTCTCTGTGTGTGTGTGGGGGGGGGGATTAGAAGGCAGAGTCTCTTCTGAATCTCTGAAGAAAATGGCAGACTAATATACCACTAGCAGACCTAAAATCAATGAGGTTCAATGGGGCTTTGAGGGATGGAAGAAAGATGAAGCTTATAAGGATTAGGAGAAGCAGGTAGAGTTTGAAAAATTATATTTAATATACCTATACCTAATAGGGAGCTCTGGTAGCATAGTGCCTAAGGCACTTGACTGCTAACCAGAAGGCTGGCAGTTCAAACCCACCAGCCACTCCTTGGAAGGAAGGTTGGGCAATCTACTTCCGTAATGATACCACCTCAGAAACCCAAGGAGGGGTCGCTATGAGTCGGGCCCAACTCGACGGCACATAACAACAACGACATACCTAATGAATTTGTATAAGGCGAGACAGAATCTTTTTGGTTTGTAGGATTGTGTATAAGAGTTATAAAGGAGTGCAGGACACTATGTTTTTTTTTTTTTTTTTTTAAAAAAGATGAGAACCTCTACCTTGTATCTCAAGCTTTACAAGTGATTTTGTCTCTAGTAGCACTTTCATGCTAGAAATTGCTTGAGTGGAGTCTTTTTTTCTATACTAACAAATAAGACTTAAGATTTAAATATGAGTAATCCTCTTGGAAATAATTTAAACCCCATGAAAATGATTCAAATTCACATTAACTACACTGTGAGGGCCTTTCCTAAGCATATGTAATAGAGATAAAGGTAAGAAGGGAACTCTAGCCAAAAGAGGAAGGGAGGGAGGCCCATTGCATGGAGCGGCTAACAATGAGGGAAGGGTTGAAAATGAGAAGCCAGTATGCAATTTCCTCAGGCAGCCTACATGACTGGGCAAATGTTCAAATGACCTGTTTCTATTTTTTTTTTTTTTTTTAAAAACTAACATTATGGGTATTCTCAGAATTAGGGCAATACTAACGAGGGTTCTTACAGACAAATGAGCTAGACAGGTTCCTTTTCATTAACTAGGTTCATTTATCACCACCACCAGACCCAGCAAGCCCTATCACAGGCATCCAGAAGAGGCAAACAACCCTTATTCAACACCCTAATTCTTATCTTTCCTTTCCTCTTCTTCTAGTTCAGCATCTCTACAAGTTATACTATGGCTAAAAGCCAGTCATTTTTCTTCCCTCAAGGTGGTTTATTTCCTTCTCAATCCAGGCCTTTCCCTTCCATTGATTCTTAGCTGCTAGGGATGGGCAGGCATGCCCATCCAATTAACATTAATTGTGTTCCCACTGTAAGAGCTATCAGATGCAGTTAGTCTGACCCATAACCACTGAAATTCTGTCTCTGCTTGTAGCCACTAAGACAAAACTTACGGGAACAGTCACTAGTAGCTTATTTTACTATCTACTACCATAGTTGTTAGGTTCCTGCCATTGACTCAGCAACCTTATGTCTAATAGGACAATACCTTGCACAGTCCTGTGTCATCCTCACAATTGTTGCTATGTTTGAGACCATTGTTGCAGCCACTGTTCAAGCCATCTAATTAGGGGTCTCCCTGTCTTTCACTGACCATCTATATTACCAACCATGATGTCCTTCTTCAGGGACTGGTCCCTACTGACAACATATCCAAAGTATAAGTCTTATTATTCTTAGTTCTAAGGAGAATTGTGACTATATGTCCTCAAAGACCTTTCTACTCCTAGAAGATAAAATTATTCTAGAAGCTTAAATTAGCCCATGAGAATTGTTTTTACACTTTCATGTGTTCATATCGTGGGGCTGTGGGATGACTGTTGTTCACTGGCATGAGTTTATTCTGACTCTAGGTGACCTTATGTGTACTGCTCTATAGTGTTTTCAAGGTTGTGGCTTTTTGAAACAGACTGCCAAGTCTCCCCACCATCCAGAGACTTCCACCGGGATGTTTACAGTAATAAAAGAAAAGTATCATGTTAGTCTCTTTCCTCATTTCTTTACAGTGTGTGCTCGCCAATAACAAAAAGGAAGAAACAACCTAAATACCCATCAGTGGAAAAATGGATCACCAACCCATGGTACATACACATAATGGAATACTAAGCAATGTTAAACAACAATGATGAATCTACGAAACATCTCTTAACATGCATGAGCTTAAGAAGCTCTGGTGGCTTAGTGCTTAAGGCATTTGACTGCTAAGCAGAAGGCTGGGTGTTCAAACCCACCAGCCACTCCTCAGAAGGGAGGTTGGACAACTGTTGAGTGAAAGTAGTCAATTACAAAAGGACAAATATTATATGAGACCACTATTGTAAAAAGTCAAGAAAAGGATGTCACAAAAAAGAAATATTCAATATTATTTGATGGTCACCAGGGATGGAGAGGGAAGGTTGGGTAAAGCACTAACTAGAGGGTGCCATCTCCGTCAAGTTGGACCCGACTTATAGTGATCCCTCTTGAGTTTCCAAGGCAATATCACTATGGAAGTAGATTGCCCAACCTTCTTTCCTAGCAGTAGCTGGTGGGTTTGAACCACCAGCCTTCTGCTTAGCAGTCAAATGCCTTAGGCAGCACATATTAACTTTGGTGGAAGGGGGGAAAGTTTGTGTACTGGAGGGGAAGAAGGTATGTGGAGAGCTGGATTGTGGGGAGAGAGTGTAGGTATTTCCCTGCCTCAGTTTACAGGAGTTGTTAGGATTACAAAACATGAGAAATATTTGATAGCACTCTATAAGGCAGGATAATATAAGGCTCTATAAAGTAGGATAATAAGTATTTTAAAACCGCTTATTCTTAATTGTCCACTCAATGAGGAGACTGGCAAAGTAAAACTTTTTTTTTTTTTCTTTTTTCCTGTTTCTGAAATAATCAAGTGGCCACTGGAGGAGTAAGGTCTGGGTAGATTTTAGGTTCAGAACTGACACATGGACTCCAACCCAAAAAGGCTTTTCCTAGGAGTCTCTTGAGAGGCCTTTACTAGCTGGTTTTGATTTAGATATTAGCCCATAGGTAGTGAGTTTCCCAGGCTCCGCAGCACAGCTCCTACAAGGTTCAGGAGCTCTAGGGGACCAGGGGCGAAGGGGCATTTCACAGATACAGAGCAAGAATCTGTATTCTAAAAATTGACTTTGAAAATTTAAATCCGGGTGTGGGGGGGTCTGTGGCTGTATTTCTCTTGGGGTCCGTACTCAAACCCCGAGTCCACTTTGTCTTCTCCCTGTGGTTGATTAAACAACAGACCAAAGAACCTTTTCATCTTCCCTCCTAGCTTGCACAGTCGGCTTGTAGCCTCCATGGCCTCGCTTTTTTCCCGGGGGAACAACTTTCCTGAGGCGGCGGATTCTTTATCTCCCGGAATGGGCGGGCGCGGCCCCTGCAGTCAGTGATAGGAACCGGAACTACAGCTCCCAGCATCCCCGGTCTCCTGCACACTGCAGACCCGGTAGTAGCTCATTTTTGCTTAAGTTTCCTTCTCCTTTTGCAGCTTCCAGCCCGGCTCCCCTAGGGAGCTCAGGATCAAAATTTTGAGACGCAGGCACTGCCCGGGGTGACAGCGCAGGGAGCATGGCCTTGCGTCTGAGTAGATTGAACGCCAGCCCCTGCTGGCGTGCGGCGCTGGGCGGCTGCGGAGCGCTTCGCACTTGGCCTTGGCGCTGCGTAGCCGGACGCATCTACCGGCTGCCTGGCATGGCTGGCACGGTGCAGAGCCGCGGGCTAGGGCACAGCCAGACAGCAGGGGGCGGACCGGGGCTAGGGGCTGGGCTGACTGCGGCGCTGGCGGGGCTGGCAGGGCTGGCCGTTGCAGCCTTCGGGCACGTGGAGCGAGCGGAGATGGTGCCAAAGAGCACGGGGCCGCGGAGCCCCCAGTCGAGAAAGCCAGAGGAGGATGACGAACTGGGCCGCCGCTGCAGCTGCTTCATGGCCTTGCCTGTAACCGACCTGCCCGAGCTTCGGAGGAGGCCAGGCGACATGAAGACCAAGATGGAGCTGTTGATCATGGAGACGCAGGCCCAGGTGTGCCAGGCTCTGGCACAGGTAGACGGAGGCGCCAGCTTCTCTGTGGACCGGTGGGAGAGGAAGGAAGGTGAGGAGGTCGGCCTCTAGTGGGAGGTAACGCAAGGCAACGCAACCACTGCGGTGGAGTCAGACCGAGTCATAGCGACCCCTCCAGGTGGAATTGGGGAAAAGCCGTTGGGCGCTAGGTTGCAGGCAGAGAGGGATCCGGAATAGGGAATTGGGGGCAGGGAGGTATCCCACTCAGGGGCCGCTTGGGAAGAACAACATGGAAAAATTGATACCTTAAGTCTTCAGTCCTCTTCTTGTAAGTATGGACCCTGATCTGCTGTCACTCTAGTAATGGGCATTTGAAAATCTTCAGCTTTTGTAATCGTCTTATTTTAGGAATACATTTTAGGGATACTTACAGCCATATCCAAGGTTTTGCTATTGAAGGTATATTTTCCCCAAGTTTTATCTTTGTGAGCGTTTACCTTTTTCCACTCCTTTGGAGATAGAAGGAGGAATTCCCCCGTGCTGAGTGTCATCCAGACTTCTCAGCTGAGGGTGTCATTCTGTCAGAATCTCCCCACTTCTTTTTCTCATTGCCCAAGAAATATTTTATCATTGGTTTGTCAGTACTTCCAAATGTCTCTAAAATTTCCTGCTAGAAAAATGCTTCTCTTCCAATACCATAATACTTTAATATTAAAATCCGGTTCTTGTAGAATCATACACACATACACACACACACATACATTCATGCCTGTGCCTGTATTATTGTCTGTACATTGAGACCCCACATTTTGGTCATACTCCTTGAAGGATCTGTAGCTTTTTCTAGCTGGGAATGCAGTAGCAATTTGTCATGAGCATATTCTGAGCTGTGATACTGTCACATCTATATTAAATAACGTTGAGTTTGGTTTCATAGTATTTTCCAATCTTGGAATGTTTTCAAATGAAGTAATGCACAACCTCAGGTCCTAGACTAACTGTGAATTTGGTTGGGAAATTATCCTTTTTTTTCCCCTCTGTTTCCTCATCTATGAATTGATACAATACTATATAGGGGCATTGTGATGATTAATTAGGAGGAAGGTTGGGCAATCCTACTTCCGTAGTGATACTGCCTCGAAAACCCAAGCAGGGGTCGCTATGAGTCGGGTCTGACTCTACAGCACATAACAACAACAACAACAACAATGGCGTAGTGCTTAAGGCTGTTGACTGCTAACCAGAAGGCTGGCGGTTCAAACCCACCAGCCGTTCCTCAGAAGGAAGGATGGGCACTCTACTTCTGTAGTGATATCTCCTTGAAAACTCAAGGGGTCGCTATGAGTCAGATTCAGCTCAACAGCAGTGAGTTTGGTTTTGTTTTTTTGGATACATGTAAAGCTCTTAGAATATTATCTTGCACACAGAAAGCACTGAGACAAATTGTCATGTATCAGCTGTGTGATCTTGGATAAGATGTTTTGCCTTTCTGGAACTTAGTTTTCTCATTTTGAATATTCCAGGATTTTATTGGTTCAATGTATGTTCCATTCAGGTCCAAAAGTCCTTACAAATAAAACAAACCAAGCATGAAACATTTGTCCCTGTGGTAACCCAAATGCTTTTAACAAACAATAGCTACTTATTTGTTTTGTTGGGTGGCTAAATACTAGTGGGTGTCTCACTCATTGTAGGAGTCGCTGGGGGGTGCAAATGGTTAATGTGCTCAGCTCCTAACTGAAATTTGGGAGGTTTGAGATTCCCCAGAGGAACTTTGGAAGAAAAGCCTGGCAATTTACTTCCAAAAAATCAGCCATTAAAAATACAGTTCTATTCTGACAAGCATGGGGTCTCCATGAGTCAGAATTGACTTGAAGGCAGTTAGTTGGTTTACTGATTTTTAGGTTCTGCATCCCTTAAGAGTTTTGGTAGCTACTGTATTTTAGTTACTTGCAAATAAAATTAAAAGGCAATCAACATAATGAGAGGGAAAAAAAAATACTGAAACAGTATGGAGCTTTTAAATTCCATAATAATAGAGGAACTACTTTCAAGTGTACTTTTTCCTGTTTTTAACCTTGTTTTCTCTTATATCTCATAATTGATGAGTACTACTCTGAACTCTAGTATTTGAAAGGAAAATATTCTAGTGCCGTATTATAGGTGATAGCATAAGAATGTGAAGAAATGATCAGTTTAGAATTGCAAAGAGGTATAATTTTTGCCCATTGTCAGTAGTTAATGTCAAAAACTGAAACTTTTTATCGATTTTGTTGTATGTAAAAATCATAACTATATTCTAAAAGATTTGGAAATTAGACAAAGAAAATAACTCCTAGTACCAGCCATCTTAAAGCAGACTCTTTCAATTTTATAAATGCCTTACATTTAATCTCCATTTTACATTGATATAAATAGGAGGTGGTGGCATAAGCTGTGTGCTTCAAGATGGGCGTGTTTTTGAAAAGGCTGGAGTGAGCGTTTCTGTCGTTCATGGAAATCTTTCTGAGGAAGCATCAAAACAGATGAGAAGCAGAGGGAAAATCCTGAAGACTAAAGATGGTAAATCAGTTTTAACAGCTTTTAATAGTTCATGCAAAGTTTTCTTCCCTTACCAATCTTGTTATAAAATAAATACTGCTTCTGGAAAACGCCGTTTGAGTACCATGCCAAGTAACATATTAGTAATTAATTTTTTGTAGAGTAATTGGTGGTTCAGTGGTAGAATTTTCACATTCCATGTGAGAGAGGTTCAATTCTGGGCTAATGTACCTTATTCCCAACCACCATCCATCCGTCAGTAGAGCCTTGTGTGCTGTGATGCTGAACTGGTGTCAGTGGAACTTCTAGACTGAAATAGACTAGGAAGAAAGGCCTGTTGTTCTACTTTTGAAAAATCAGCCAGTGAAAACCCTGTGGATCACAGTGGTCTAGTCTGTAACCCACAGTTGTAGGACTGGGCAATATTTTATTCAGTTGTGCGTGGGATTGCCATGAGTCAGGGGCAGACTTGATGGTGGCTAAAAGCAATTACTTTTTAAAAATTATGTTTTAAGGGTAACTTTAAAATATCCTTTGGAAAATGGATCTAGAAACTACATTGGAGTTACTTTGTATGAATCCAGGTATTTGACTATACAGCTCACTGTGTCTTTACTTTCCAGGTAAATTGCCATTTTCTGCTATGGGTGTGAGCTCTGTTATCCATCCCAAGAATCCTCATGCTCCTACTATCCATTTCAACTACAGATACTTTGAAATAGAAGAAGCAGATGGTAAGGGTCTCTGGTGCTATGGAAACTCTTATTGTGCAAAATGAGTATTTTAAAGCAGGTAAGAGGTAAAAGGGACAAAGAATAAATATAGTCTTAAGAGGTTTTTCAGATAGCATATAAAGGTTTAGTCCTTGGCAGAGGCAATGAATTATGCACTATGCATGAAAAGTGAAAAGGGTGATGGCTGGACTCTGACATCCCCATATTTTCTGCAATATACATGATACTGGAATACATACTTGGTTCTTCACAAATATAAATTGATTGCTATCAAAGGAAAGCCTTATGTATGAGGTTTAGTTGAAATTGAGAACTGGCCTTTGGAATGTATCTTTTAGATCCATAGCATTGCCTGTCACCAGTGGACTTGTCAGTGGTTTAAATGGAGTGCAGTTGATCATGTCTCATGCCCATGGGGTTCTAGCCTGTCTCTCCCATCAGAGGACCAACTGTCACCTCACGTCAAAGCATCTTTGCAGTGCCATCCCTATACCTCTTGATTTCTTTGCAGGTGGTGGCATTTAAAATCACTATTTTAATTTTTCATTTTGAAACCATTCAGTTTGTTCAGCCTTTTAGTGTGTGAAAGTTGGTAACCGGCCCTAATGGTTGTCCCTGGGTAACACAAACATTTAAGTGCTCAGCTACTAACCAAAAGCTTGGCAGTTCTAATCTACCCAGAGATGCCTTGGAAGAAAGCCCTAACAGTCTTCTTCTGAACCATTGAAAACCCTATAGAGCAGTTCTGCTTTGACACATAGGGTCATCATGAGTCAAAATCGATTCCCAGGCAATGTTTTTTTTTTAAAAAAAAACCAAAAAACTGGTACTGACAACCTATAGACTTAAATAAGCACATGAAATAGTCCTTCTCAAATAGTTAAATTGCGTCACTCCATAAATGTTCTTGTGGGAAAAGAGAGAGGGTAGCAGTAGTTCTTAAACCAGGGAGCATCGGAATTTCCTGGGGAGATTTTATAAATTATAGGTGCCTGGAACTTACACCTCGAGATGTGATTGTCCTTCTGTTCCAGCAGAGGTGGTCTGTGCAGCCCAAATTGAGATCCACTGTGTGGTGTTTATCACTCACTGTCACAGGCATATTATTTCCTTGCCATGCATACCATTTCTCCTTTCTGCCTCTGCCTCTTCTTTCCTGCTTAGGCCTTAACAGAGCTAAAAATATGGTTCTGGTTTTTGTTTTTATTTTTCAATTGTCACTCATTTTATGCTTAACAAATTAAGCTGATAAATTAACTTTGTTAATATGATTAATAGCATGCGGAATTTCAAAGTCCACATGTGTTTTGACTTGGTAGGTAACAAGCAGTGGTGGTTTGGTGGTGGATGTGACCTTACTCCAACATACTTGAACCAAGAAGATGCTGTCCATTTTCACAGAACTCTAAAGCAGGCTTGTGACAAGCATGGTCCAGATCTGTACCCCAAATTTAAAAAATGGTAGGTCAAAGTATTAAATTTACCATGATCCTAAAATTCCATTTTTTTCTGTGGGTCCCAAGGGTAACTATTTTGTCACTAAACACCTTCAGCTTGTGAAGATTGAACCTTGCTCACCAGAATTAGAATATCAATCTTAATATGAGTAGTTTTAATAAATTACTTATTTTGAAATCTGTACATGTGTGTAATATAAACTGGGCAGCAGCATCTTTTGATCCCAAATAATTTGGACTGGTAGCATATAAACCGTACAGAGCAGTGATCTATACCTGAGAAGCAGGAGCTTTTTGAACCTAGGGTGGGATATTCATCATCCTAGATGAGAACTATTGTCCTCTTGTTGCCCTGGGAATACATTAATGCATAGAAGTGATCAGAGAAGTACTGAGGAGAGATCCAAATATGCCTGAGATTTTGAACGAAGAGGAAAGTGGAATTGAAGGCTTTGTTAAAGAAATTCTAGTGATGACGTAAGAACAGAAAAAGAAACAAGCAAAAGACCAGGAAAATTTGGTAGATATCAAATGATGTCTTGGCATAGAATATTTGGAATAGGAGTAAAGTACTAAACACTGCTTATAGCTAATAGTCATTCATTAGTAAGGAAAAATAGAAAAGGCTTTTGGGATTTTTCATTGCTTTTAGTGATAATAATTGGGGAACATTGATGTTATTTATGTAAAAGCCAGGTTTCAGCTTTACATTTCTCAGAAAAAATAAGGCATTTGCATATTCTTCTGATTTAACATTATTAGTTTTTTCCTCTCTCCCACAAGCCAGTATCCTTCTAGGAGGAAGAGTGGTGGGTAGATATTCCCCTCTTTGGTTTACTCTTATAACTGTTAGATGACTGTAAACATTACTACTTAATTAATATTAGGCTAGGTGAAAAATATTTTGCATTAGTGTTTAGTAACTCTTAATTTTATAATCTCAGGAAGAAATATTTTGAACTACAGGCATTCTCTGGGTTACAAATGAGATCCATGACTAACTGCAAAACAGCAGTGCTTACAAGGGAAGCAGCACTACTTGTTTCAAGAAGTACATTATTAATACTGGGCTTTTGATTTCTGTTTTCACTAAAGTTATTAGAGTTTCATATCCTTTAGATAGACTTACGCTGAATTGCTTTGCTGCTTTGCTGGTAAGAGTATAAGCATTTTCTACATTGAGGATGTCTGTAAGAAATCTGTCTATAGTCCTTGTTTCTTTTTCATAGTTAGGCAGAAAGTAAAGGAGTCAAGTATATTGCTCAAGGATATTAGTCAAAGATAGTGCTCTAAACAGAAATGTTCACATTGATTATCACATCTTTCTTTTCTTCACACTTTAACCCCTGATTTGGCCTTGTTACGTTTCCAGGTGTGATGATTACTTCTTCATAGTCCATCGTGGAGAGCGGAGGGGCATCGGTGGGATCTTTTTTGACGATCTTGACTCTCCATCCGAGGAAGAGGTGTTCCGCTTTGTGCAGAGCTGTGCCCAGGCTGTAATTCCTTCTTACATTCCACTTGTGAAAAAGCATTGTAATGACTCATTCACTCCCCAGGAGAAGCTGTGGCAGCAGCTCAGGAGAGGCCGGTGAGTGACACAAGAATAAACCATCTCCTTTCATAGCTGGGAAATGGAGCAGCAGTAATAATAGTGGGTGCTGTGTTGTCTTTGACAGATATTTTGTAATGGGGTTGTTAATGAGAACCAAACCAAACCCATTGCTTTCGAGTTTCTTCTGATGCATAGCCCTATAGGACAGGGTAGAACTGCCCCATAGGGTTTCCAAGGCACTAATGGTCATGGAAGCAGACTGCCTCATCTTTTTCCTGTGGAGCACCTGGTGGGTTCGAACCACTGACCTTTTGGTTAGCAGCCAAATGCCTTAACCACTGGCGAGAGGCAAATAAAAACTACAATGAGATACCATCTTACCCCAGCTAAAATGGCACTGATACGAAAACAGGTAGCAACAGATGTTTAGTGGGGAAGACATACTTAAAAGGGTAATTTAAAACTGCACAAGATTTCAGATGCAAAACTGGTTGATATTTTTGAATACTAATGAAGTGAAGCCTATATTTTTCAATGTTTTAGTTTTTTTTGACATTTGATGGCAAGGTTTTTTCCCCCCCCACATGTTATTTAACTATAGCCCATAGTATACATTATGATTAATTTTTTGTGTTGTACATTTCTATGGATTTTGACAAATGTATAGTGGTGTGTTTCCACTATTACAGTATCATGCAGAATAGTTTTATTTTCATATAAAATGCCCTGTGCATCCCCATTCATCCTTCTTGTATTCCCCTTAAACTCCTGGCACTAGTCTTGTCACTGTCTCTATAGTTTTTGCCTTTTCCAGAATGCCATATAGTTGGAATCATGCAGAATGTATGCAGTCTTTTCAGACTAGCTACTTTCACATAACAGTATTCATAGAAAGTTCCTCCATGTGTTTTTGTATCCTGATAGCTTCTTTCTGTCACTGAATAACATTCCATTGTATAGAAGTTTCCAGTAATATATCAGAAATACCATAGTTTATAAATTCACCAATTGAAGGGATTTTATTTGCTTCCAATTTTTGGCAATTACAAATAAAGCTATTGTAAACATTCACATATAGGTTTTTGTATGTTATTAAGTTTTCAGTTTATTTGGATGACGAGACATTCTGAAAGTTCCATTTATGGGTGTATCATTGCATGTTTGGAGTCTTTTGAGTCAGGCAGAAACATGGGGTATTAGATTAATTTTCTACAGTATGTGTGTGACTCTTCTTCAAAGAGCGCCTTCCTTCCACCCCTTTTATCACTGAGCTTTAAGATAGTAATACCTTCTGGGTTTCAGATAACCCCAGCTATTTACTGGGTATGGGCACTGTCTTCACTTTCTTATATTTATAGCCCCTTATCTGTATTCTTTACAAGTTATTCTTCCTGACTCCCCCAGCCACAAAATAGGAGTTTTCCTTGCAGTGGCTAGCCTGGTTCCCTTAAGAATTTACAATCTCTTATGTGGCAACCTTATTTCATCTCTTGCCCTCATTTACTATCATTCTCTCCCTAAGCCCTTAGACTTCACTTTTACAGTCACTTTTTTCATAGGAGAATAGAAACTAAAGGTGTTTACTTACTTACTTATTTTGGGGAAGGAAATAAGATTAATACTTGGAACATTAGTTACATTGAAGGGAATGGTTAAAAGACTGTAATTTACAAGCAGCTCAGAGATGATAATCTATGGAAAGGATCAGAAATATCAGATCTAAATGGAATCTGGTGGGAGTCAGAGAGGTTAATGTAGGGTCTGGGGCATCTTACACTCAAGAGGTGAAAGGAACCTAGGATTCTACAGGTTGATCACAGTATAGAAATTAAGTAGGCCAGAGGAATTTAATTTAGGGAGCTCCTTACAAGGGTCTTTGAGATAGGTCTTTGTATATATTGATACAAACTAAAGAATCACAACTATCCCTTACAGATCATGTTTCAGAAAGGTAAGATCAGGGATAAAAAAGGTGGCCAAGGGACTGAAATTCTCTCTTCTAGACTCTTAGTGAGAAAGAAGTCATGATTTTCTTAAATTATCTTTTGAAACAGCCATGAAGAAGGTATTAAATATGGCTAAAGCACTTGACTGCTAACCAGAAGGCTGGCGGTTCAAACCCACCAGCCACTCCTCGGAAGGAAGGTTGGGCAATTCTACTTCCATAGAGATACTGCCTCAGAAACGCAAGGAGGGGTCGCTATGAGTCGGGGTCGACTCGACGGCACATAACAACAACAACAGTGAACAAAAGTCAGTAGAAATCAGTGGTGAAGACTAAGAAGGGATCCATGGATGTAGTTTATGTAATTTTTTTTTTTTTTTGTAGGACATTTTGTAAGTTTCCACACAAAAAGGTACTCTAAAAAAACTGAAGTGCCTTTGGATTCTAAAGACTATTTTGATTTTGTGGACTTAAAGAAAGGAGTCCTGGTCACACAGTGATTAAGTGTTCATCTGCTAACAGAAAAGGTGGTTCAAACCTATCAGCCGCTCTGCAGGAGAAAGATGAAGCAATATGCTTTCATAAAGTTTATTGCCTGGGAAAACCTACAAGGCAGTTCTACTCTGTCCTATAGGATCACTGTGAGTTGGAATCGACTTTATGGCAATGGGCTGAACTTAGAGACAGAAACCAATAGAATAAATGTTAATATCTGAGAAAAGTTTAGACCAAGAAAGTAATTTCTGAATGAGTTGAGAAATAATCTGAAAGAGGAACTATGTAGTGAATTTTCATATGTGTGGATTATTCTAAATTCTGGATAATAGTAGAAATCCTTTTGAAATTGGAGAGAGCAGACCATCTCACAAAGTATACCCTAATGGCACAAGCAGACACAGACTCTAGGCTAGATGGAGTCTAGATCTTACTCTGTGGTAGTTCATGGAAAACTAATGTGTTGGACTAAGTTTTTGCTGATGTTAAGTATTTTTCTAAAAAAATAACCAACAGCATTGTAACCCACACACAGCCTTTTTAGTGTAGTGGTTATTAATATGCAGGAAGATTACCTTATATGGCTACTTACTGGTATATTTAACTGTGTTAAGACAAGGGGAGTATCAAAATATATTAGTAATAATACATAACTGTTAGCTATACTTGGTTTTTCAATTACAAACGTTTTACACGGTCTTAGAAGAAGTACTTGTGAGTTACAGGCAGTGAAATGAAATCTTGGTCAGACATCTCAGACTCTGGGGAGGGCCAGCAGGAGCTATGCTACTCTGAGAAAGGATGACAGTTTTTTTTTTCTTAATTGTTGTGTCTTCAAGTTTGCATCTTTGTCCATTTGGTTTGTTTTTTGGAAAACATAAACCTTCTTATTTGATAACTGTTCCATGCTGGGATAGACTCTATATCCTACTGTTTAGTGGGGAGAATACCCTTTTTATTCATGCTCATCCAGATGGAGAAAACTCAACTGGCCAAAGACTGATGTTCTATGAGGCAGTCCAGCTGACTGGGGAGAAGGAAAGAGGAGGAAACTTCTCCCCACCTTAAAGTATTTATTATGAACGAATCTTCAGATTTTACTCAAATGACCCTTGTTTTTATATGATGTTTTCATGGCAGGTATGTGGAATTTAATCTGCTGTATGATCGAGGCACAAAGTTTGGTCTCTTCACTCCAGGATCCAGGATCGAAAGCATCTTGATGTCTTTACCACTAACTGCTCGGTAAGGAGATAACTATATTTGTTATTCCTCCTTTCCTTGACTCCCTAACAATATGAACTTTAATACCCCAGACTTAATTAGAGTTGATTTTGCTGATTTTATAGGAAAATCAAGGTCAAATAATTATGGAAAATTGAATTGGGCTTTTAAGGGTCGCAGGGTGAATGGCATAGTTTTGTGTGTGAGAACAGAGTGGGGCTAGAAAGAGTGAGAGGGCAGGGTGGTGGTAGTGTCTTGGGGTAGGGGGGTGAGGTTAACCTTCCTTACCTGGTAATTTTCTGGTAAGTGCTGTGGGCTAAGCAAATTTATTTGAATACACCAGCTTTTAAAACTTGACTTTATTAGAAATTAATGTTCTTGGTGGAAACCTTTTACTTTCTGGAATGAGGTATGAAACGAGTTTGAAAGCGTGAGGGGTATTTCACACATGGTACATTCGCTCTGTGTTCTACATGCTGCTCTGGTGGGCATCCATACATGCTAGTTGAATTTGTTTGGGGAATTTTGAAGCCACATATATATTTTTGTTGATGCTCTTAGGTTGATGGTATTAAGATCTGCAGTTGTCTCCCTGCCTATAAAAATGTAAGAATGATGTCCATCCAGACTGAAATAGGAAAGATGAGAATAAAAATTCCATAGCTTGTTTTGCTGGATGACATCAGAGGTCTGCCTTGCACTGTGCTGCTGTCCAGGTCTAGCCTTATCAAATCAGTACCCTCTGCAGTTGTCACTGTCTTCACCATGGCATTGACTCTGTTCTTGTTTAACCAGTGTTTTCAGGATCTCATGTCCTTGGCTGTAAGCTCACACACATCACTGTTACATGGTCAAGACACTGTAGAGGGGATAAATGAATAAGATACAGATGAGTTCTTTAGGCTTTCAGAAGTCTGGCTGATCCCTAATTATAATGCAGATCTCAAGCTCCAGGATAATGGGCTGATTATAAACCAATCCCTTGTTCAATTGAATATAATTAATAGGACAGGCCACTGTTAACATCTTATACCCCAAACCAAGCAGCCCTTCTGCCACAGTGGTGAAGTGTTTGGCTGCTAACCAAAAGGCAAACCTGCCCAGCGACTTCACGGCAGAAAGACCTGGCTATCTGCTGCCATAAACATAGCCTAGAAAACCCTAGGGGGTAGTTCTGTTCTTTCACATGGGGTCACTGTCAGTCAAAATCAACTCACTGGCTCCTAACAATAACACAACATAGTCTAAGCCAGGGGTCTATAAACTTAAGGCCTGTGGGCCAAATCCAAATCCACTGTGTTCTGTTTTTGTGAAGCCCTAGAACTAACAATGGAGTCCCTGGTAGTACATATAGTTAATACACTTGGTTGTTAACCAAAAGATTAGTGGTTCACGTCCACCCAGAGGCACCTTGGAAGAAAGGCCTGAGGATCTTCTTCCAAAAAGTCAAGAATTGAAAACTCTAGAGGCGGGGCAAGATGGCGGACTAGGCAGAAGGATTGCACAGACCCTCTTCAACAAAGA